TGTGTCTCTTACCCTACCCTAGAGGAGGTACCAGTACTTGAACCCAAGTCTCCTGCTATCAAGTCTTGCACTCATCCCATTACAAACAAGCATTTTATCTCTTCATGATTTTTACTTTGTATACTTCATAAACATATGAACTAAAATCACATTTTAAAATGCAAGAATTTCCCTTCTACATATTAACACACTAACAATTAGGGCATTATTTTGATAAATTAAGCTTTAAATACTTACTTCAAATTCTTTTACAAAATAACGAGTTTCACCCTGAATAATTGGTCTGTGATCCAAAAGCCTTGAATGAATTTCTCCAAGATCTATAAAGATAAAATAAAATTCAGGGTTAGGCCATGCTTAATCTCTAGCTTATTTTACTTGTTTTACATAATCTCTAGCTTGTCTTACTCTTCCACCTCCCCATGAATAGATAAAGGTTAAAATCCAGTTTAGGAGCCAGCCAATGGCATGGTGGTGAAGGCAGCTGGATCCCACACGGTCAACCATACAGTTTGAGTCCAGGATGCAAAAGCTTGAGAAACATGCCCAGTGCATATGCACATGCCTGTGTGTGCTCAAAATCCTGAAAGGAGGGAGAAGATGGAGAAAGGATTGGGGCATGACCATGCCCCATGGGGGTGCTTTCTCATCTCTCTCTCTGTCTCAACTCTCCTCTCTCTAAGGAATGCATATAACCTTCTGGCAAAATTAAAAAAAAAAAAAATCCAGTGTCATTCCAGCCTTAGTGACGTGGGCAGCAGGGCACTGGAGTTACAAGAGAAGGCCCTGGTTCCAAACCCAGGGTTGACCTGAACACACCAGTTTCATCAATGGGCATGCCCAGGATCCTGGCTGGCTAGAAGGCTATGGGATAAATCACAGCTTGACAAGACCCTCGTGGGGAAGTCTCTCCTTTTTATAAAAGAAAGATTTTAAAAAATCGGTTTAGACTATGTATCATTAGGAAATCTAATCTACCACCAGTGGGTGCATAAATTAGCACAACTACTTCTTTTTTTGAGTGAGAGACAGAGACTGAGAGATAGGTATTTTTGACAGGGTCTCGCCTCTATGATCCTCCCAGAAAACTAGGATTACAGACATGTACACTGTGCTTGGCCTGTTCAAGTTGGTCCAGGATCTGAACCCAGGCTTCTTCTGTAGCCCCAAGTTCACACACTGCCTATCTACCACTTGTGCCATCATGGCCAGGCCTGGTGGGCCTTATCTGACCAGAGAATATACTTTGCAAATACCTACTTACATCTCAGGGAACAGCGATGTCTCTGAAATACAACTGGCCAACAGGATAAAGCATGAGCTCCCTAAAGCCCACCTATGGTCCCACGATCTGGCTCCAGCCCCTTCTCCATACATGCCACCATTTTCAAACTGCTTGGTCTTCCAAACACAGCTTATTCATGTGTCCTTGCCACCATTCAAACCACTGTCATCACCTAGAACCCTTCTTTAAGTACCTCACCTTTACCTAATTCCTAATCTTCCTTTAAAACCGCTTTCACTCCGTTCTTCTTAAAACTGTCATTCATTCCACCCAGCTTCCGCCTAGACATCATGGAGTGCCTCTTCCTTCTGCTCCCAGAGCACCTGGGGCATACACTTCTATTGCACCATTTCCCATACCATCTCTCTTCTCTAATGAGCATCTCACAGACCAAATTTACAGGGTGGGGAGGTGAACACGTATTTTTCTATATGGCCTAGAAGCAGTTATGTTCTGCTGACTTGGGGAAATCTGCTTGTGGCCTGATTCGGTGGGAATTTACTTAGGCTTTGGTGAGATCATTCAATTCTGCTTAGAAGTAGATAAAGATCACTTCTAAAACCACAACTGTGCTAAAAGTTTAAATAATAAAAATACAGGCAAGAAGAGTCTATCAAATACACATTACAATACAAATTACATCCCTAATTATTGGGTTGCTGGAAAAGTCATGACCCATTTTTGCATAGAAAAACAGAAAAATATAAACTTTTCCAATGACCCCATAGTTTTGTTGTAACATTATAGCAACAAATCAAGTCCATTACAATAATTCAGAGTTTGTAGGCGTCTCAGAGATTACACATAAATCCTCCTAGTTTAAGTGTAAGTTAAGCTACAGATTTTCCTTTAAATCCCAGCTCCAGTCCTGCTTCATGCAAAGCATACTCTCATTGTTTGATATTCAATGTAAATTTTGTTCTCCAAAAATTACTAATCTAATGTAATAGTTAGACAAATACCCCTTCAATTACAAGATAGAGATAAGCACTGCAATCAAAGATAAAAAAGTCCTATGACTAGGGAACGAGAAGAAATACAGAGAATTTTGGATCTCTCATTATTTAATAAAAGGAAAAATTTTTCCTCTGGCCCTGAATACGGTGGACTTTAATGTAAAATGTGCGTCTCTGCATATCATAAAGAACAATTTACTAAATGGTATACAATATAGCACTATCTTTTTAAAAAAAGGTACTACATAGAAATGAACAACTTCTATACATCAAAAGATACACTCAACAGAATAAAAAGGCAACTCACCCTATGGGAGAAAATATTTGCAAATCATCTATATGAAGAGGATTAAGATCCAGAATATAGAAAAAACTCCTACAACTCAGCAACAACAAAATTCCATTAAAAAATAGCAATGGACTTGAATAGACATTTTTCAAAAGAAGCTAGGCAACTCTCGAATAGCCAATAAGCACATCATTAATACACATCATACCCACTAGAACAGCTGCTACCAAAGCGGGGAGTGGTGGAGGATAAGTGTTGGTGAGGAATGTAAAGAAAATGGAACCCTATGCACTGTTGGTGAGAACGTAAAATGGAACAGCTAATATAGAAACCAGCATGGCAATTATTCAGAACATTAAAATTACCATATGATTCAGCAATTCCACTTTTGGGTATGAGGGGGTCTTCAAAAAATTCATGGGAAACATGTACTAAGAAAAAAGAAATGCCTGCATTTCAAATATTTTTGCACTAAGACAAACTCTTAGGCCAGCCAGAGGCATGCTGGTTAAGACAGCTGGATCTGACATGCCTGACTCTATGATTCAAGTCTGGGACTCAACAGTTTGAAAATCATGCTGGGTGTGTGCACAGTACACCCAAAAAATTCCAAGAGGAGAATGGAGGATTGTGGAGAAGGATGGAGGATTGTGGCATGGCCATTCCCGCTTGGAGGAGGGTGCAATTTCTCACTTTCTCTCTCTCTCCAGCAAGTGCACAACACCCTATAGCAAACTTAAAAGTAAAATAAATTCTTATTTAATTCTATTTTCCAAGAACTTTCTGACATACCTTCTCATATATCCCAGATAATTATTTTTTTTTTTGGAGAGGTTTTTGCTATAGGGTGCCTGAGCTCGCCAGAAAGACAGAGAGAGAGACAGAAAGCGAGAAATCCCCCTCCCACACTGGAGGGATGGCCATGCTGCAATCTCTTCTCCATTCTCCTCTCGGGACCTTGGGCATGCATGCACACCTGCCCGGCATGAGTTTAAGCCACTGGGTATGGGACTTGAACCGTGGTCAGCTACACGGGAGTCCAGCGACATAGCCATTACACCAATTGCTGGTCCCTATCCCAGAGAATTGAAAGCAGTGACCCAGATTATTTGTACATCCATGTTCACAACAGCATTATTCACAAAAGTGAAGTAAAAAGAGGAAACTACCCAGTGTCCACTGACAGTACTAGGAAGACCCACAACATGTGGTTTATATGCACAAAAAGAAAATTTTAAAAAAGGGAAATCCTGATACATGTTACAATTTCAATGTGATTAAAAGATATTATGCTAAACATAAAAAAGCCAGTCACAGAAAGATAACTACTGTATGATTCCACTTACTGAAATACATAGAACAGTCAAATTCATTGAGAGAGAAGTGGGATGGAGCTTGCTAGTGGTTGGGGCAAGGAGAAAACAGAGTTCAGCTTTAATACAAAAGATACAGAGTCCTGCAAGATAAAAAGAGTTCCGCGGATGGTGGTAACATGTGAAATGTACTTATAGTCACTAAACCATCTCTGCACTTTGTAACAGCTAAAATGATCCATTCTGCTACATTTATTTTACCCCAATTTTAAAAATTAAAGTAGTATCTCACTCAGATTGCACGTATAAATAATTTTAAGTTAGTCCTAAGGCCCTCAAACGCTCCCATGCTAATTCGACTTAAGAGAACCAGAAATACAGTCAAAAATCAGCCACAGCCAACTCTGCTAGGCTGTCTGCAAAAATGGCCGATATGGTTAAAACGAAAACAGGCAACGACCGAGGGAGCTCATCTCTGGGCAGTGCTGAAGGACTTCGGAATTATTCCCATCTGAGGGTTCCACCTCGGGTGGGTGGTGGTGGGACTGGCAGGGTAGGCCTGGGTTAGGGAGGTGGCGGTAAGACAGCGCGGTATCTGAACTGGCTGTTGGCGTTTTTCTCCAGCTCAAGACAGACAGGCCAAACGGACAGCAGCACAAGGTGTGGCGCTTCGTAGAGTTTTAGGACGCTTTCCTCGGTGTGACCTCACTTACTCCTCGCCTGACCCAGGGGCGCAGAGTCCAGTGAGTGCAGCGAATAACTGGACTGAAAGTCCCACGACGCCCAAGCGACTGGCTGGAGGGGCGAACGCTTCCCGACCCCCGGGCTCGGCGCCGTCTGCATTTCGGGTCGGTCGGGAGGCCATCCCAGCTCTGCGCCCGGGGGTCCGGGGCTTGGGAGGAGGCAGGAGGTGGACCTGCCGTGGGGCTCAGGGCTGCGGCAGATGGAAGCCAGGGTGCGCGAGGACTTGGGTGGGCTGACTGTCCCCGGGAAGGAAGTCTGATGGACCGACCACGACGCCCCACCCGCACAAACGCGCGCACCGGTCCGGGGCTGGGGTCGGCCTAAGCGCCGCCTGGGCCGACTGAGAGGTGGGGTTGCGTCGGGATCAACCAGGGACGATAGCCCAGCCGCTCCGTACCCTTGATAATGAGGTGCGCGGAGCTCGCGGTCCCCAGCGAGTCCCTCTTCTTGCCGCCGCCACCTGGGGCGGCCTCACAACCCACAGGGGTCTCTGTCCCTCCGCCACTCATCCCGCGGCCGTGCTGCGCCTGCGTAAACCTGAGCCGCCCGCTTTTAAGCCGCGCGCGGGCTTTTTGCGTCATCACAGGGCGTCGGAGACGTTGAGTCTACCGAGCTGTCGACTCTAGAAAGACACCTGAGTTTAGCCAGGGGTATAAACTGGCAGAAGCCGGTGCCGCCATGCTTGATTAGGGCTGATGCTCCCAGAATAGGAAGGCACCTGAGGTTAGGTTAACTTTCTCCTTAAACCTGCTGAAACCCATTGTACGATAGTTTAGTCAGGTTGGGAAGCGGGAAGGGGTGCGGTCATGAATAACAACAGTAGGAATATAAATGTATTATTTATATTACTGCCGCCAGTGCTTTACAACGCATTTAAAAAGATTTATTTTTAATATTTTTTAAAGAATGATTGTATTTCATTTGTTATCATCATCATCATTATTATTTGTTTAATTTGACCAGAGAGAGACAGAGAACGAAAGGGAAAGTAGGAAAGTCAGCCTGCAGGTCTGGGACTTGAACAGTGGTTTGCCATGTGGGAGTCCAGCATGTTAACCACTACGCCATCTGCCGGCCCCAATTTTATTATTTTTTTAAAAATTTGCTCTAGGTCACGTGCACTCACCAGGGAGCGAGCGAGCGAGAGAGAGAGAGAGAGAGAGAGAGAGAAAGAACTCAAGCCAACAGGTTCAGGACTTGAACCTCAGTCGGCCATGTGGAAGTCCAGTGCCTTAACCACCATGCCACCTGCTGGCCTCTACAAAGCATTTTGACATGCATTGTAACATTTGATCATCATAGCGACTGGGTGGAAAGGAGGAAGCAGTTTTATCATTTATTGCTGATAAATGAAGTAACAGGGTCAGAGGTCAAGTAATTGGCCCATAGTACTTACCAGGCTTGCTCATGCCCATGTGAAGGAAAAAAAATACCCGTTTTGGTGTTTGCACTTACAAAACTACAACCATCTGATACATGGCTGATAAATGTGCTGTATGGTTGCTGCCGTTTGATAAATCTCGTAACATTGGTCTTGTATTCTCACATCATCATGCTTTTCAAAGAACAATGGTGCATCTGTGCAATGGTTCCTTCACCAATTATGTTCATCCAGTGGTTCTTTTCTAAGAACCATCTCTAATTATCTCCCTTTCTCCTTCCTTTATTCCTGAACAGTGCTTACCCTCAAGAGCTTGGGATCTAGTGTAGAAGAAGAAATATAAATAAACCAACAGTTTTTTTTTTTTCTTTTGTTTGAGAGGTTTTTGCTACAGGGCATGTGCGCTCGCCAGACAGAGAAAGAGAGAGATATAGAAAGCGAGAAATCACCCCCAAGGTGGGATGGCCATGCCGCAATCCCTTCTCCTCCATTCTCCTCTCGGGATCTTGGGCATGCACGCATACGTGTCCGGCGTGAGTCTAAGCCACCGGGTCCAGGACTTGAACCACGGTCAACTACGCGGGAGTCCAGCGACATAGCCATTACGCTAACTGCTGGTCCCAAACTAACAGTTTTTATAGAGGGGCTATGGCTGATAGTATAAAGGATGTTTTGGCACACCTGTGAGGGAGTCAGGAAATGGTTCCCAGAGAAGGCAAATGTTTGTCTTCAGACTTCAAATGAATAGATATTAACTAAGTGGAGTGAAGAAGGAATTTAGTGTTTTTTAGCAGAAGTAATAACAAGCCCCAAAGTGTGAAAGCATAAAAGAGATCAATTTATAAACAAAATATAAAGTTGGCTAATTGCCAATAATTGTATCTATCTAACCTTTCTTTTTTTAATTTTATTTATTTATTTATTTATTTATTTATTTGAAGTTTTTGCTATAGGGTATGTGCACTTGACAGAAAGAATTTATTTATTTATTTATTTATTTGAAGTTTTTGCTATAGGGCATGTGCACTTGACAGAAAGAGAGAGACAGAGACAAAAAGAGAGAAATTACTCCCCCCCAGGGAGGATGGCTATGCCACAATCCCTTCTCCTCTATTCTCCTCTCAGGATCTTGGGCACCCACGCACACGCACCTAGCATGAGTTTAATCCACCGGGTCTGGGACTCAAACCGCAGTCGACCACATAGGAGCCCAGCGGCATAGTCATTATGCCAACTGCTGGTCCTTGTCTATCTAACCTTTCTAGTTTCATTTCCATTTCTCTAGCACAGATCTCTTAAAACCATAATTCAAGCCTTTTTTCTACCCTCTCAAGAATGAATTTTCTTTAAACCTGTCTTTGCAGTGTTTCTCAGCCACTGAAAATTCTGGGAAGGCTCATTATAGTGGAGTGAGGTTGACTGCTTCTCCCACATTAACAGAGTTATTTTTAAAAATTGCAGATTTTTTTTGAGTCAGCCTTGTGGCCTAGTAGTTAAAGGAGCCAGATCTTACATGGTCAACCAGACTCCAAATCTGGGCCCTGGTGCTTATGCATGTGTGTCTAAAATCCTGACAGGTTGGAGAAATGGAGGAGAAGGGATTGTGGCATGACTGCAATCTTCCCCCTTCTGTCTCTGTCTCTATATTGGTAACTCTGTGGTCAGTGCATGAACTGTCTGACAATGAAAAAACTGCCTATTTTGGGCCCCACCGGTGTCCCGACCCGGGGGGACAGCCGAACGGGTTTCCTGCGTGAAGGAGTGAGAGCCGGGGAAAGACGCGC